CGAACTCGACATCCGACCGAATTGTTTGCAAAGGGATCTATATCAAATCCATCCGCTAGTAATCGCGTTGTCACGGAAAATGATATATTGAAAAAGTCGAATACACTCGCAACAAGTATATAACACGAACACGGAGTTTGACGGAAACGTTTGCGAGAAAAGACGTATAGATTGGCTATTGAACCGATAATCCCAGCAATTAGGACGATTGAATACCCATAGATACTTACTTGTTTAGTAATCGCGTTCAATGTGTTAATAGATACCATCTAAAAGGTGTTAAAATGAATCGACGTAAAAGAAAACTTCAGTTTGTGCGAGAAAAAGAAACAGGTTTTCTAAACGAGGAGAGAAACTAATTAGAAAAAAACTCGTAGTTATTGTGAAAGGAAATTATCAGAACCAAATATAAACGTGGTATATCGTTTTAATCATGAAGTGAAGCACAATGGTGTGCAAGTAAGCTGTTAGGTGCAATTGAGGAAAATATAAAATATGACATAAAGATATTTATTGATGGGTGGAACAATGCATCGGATTAGATAAAATCGAAATAGCGATCATCAATCAATATTTATTCTGTTGTTATCAAAATCAATTTTCACGACAGCGAACATATCGTTGTCTCTGCTCAGTTAAAAGTGAATACAAAGATCTGAGGATGAGAACGAGGGTTGTTTATTTTCTAACTAATTGTAATGGTTTTATAAGAAAAAAAAAGAGTGAATTAAAGTCAGTTTATTGGTCGTTCTTTTCTCGACGAGATGTTTTCTAAAAGAGAAAAGTTTTTCATTCACGAGAAATAATTGAACAAATTTATCGAACTCACTTTTACTTTTTCCCAAGTGACCAAATCAATTGGTTAAGCCAATAGCTACCACCCAAACCTCGACGTTTTGTTTCTCCGGTTTTGACTTCATTTTCCGCAGCTGCATAGATATCTTCCAGAGTGACGTGATATTTCTCGAGAATTTGAACGATTTCCATAGCAGCATTGACGATATTGGATTTATCAGGTTCACCTTCGCGTTTCCATACTGGTGAATTAGGAACGCTTTCTAATGGTCTCAAGTGAGGACGAAATTGTTTGTTCACAAGATGATCTACTTCTTCATCATCTTCTACCGAGCGTCCATTACACACTGTTGCTATTGCGAATAGCACCATGAAGATGGTAACGAAGAAACCAGTTCGGTACATTGTTAGATTTGTATAGCTTCCTGTGATTTTCAACAGCTATTTATATGCGATGAGTTGGAGAGAGAGAGAGAGAAAAGTACTGGTGCGAATCGATACTTCGATGTTTTTTTAGATAGGAAATGATAATTAGCAACGCATGTTGATATGCGCATCAAAGTTACATAGAGACAATTTCCATAGAAATTAGTACGTCATCTTGTTTGAGTTGGCGTTCCTCTATCATATGACCGATTTCTAATTATTTTATGTTCAGGGGAAGCTTTCGATGACACCCTTTCTAATGATATATTTTTTATTCAATTTCATCCATGTTTCCACGGAGAAATCACCGGTACAAAATGAAGAAATCTTACTGTTGTTTTTATGTGTTACTTCCGCAATAACGCCGCTCGAGCCATTTTTCATTCCTAATAGTGACGCAAAGTATATTTTTTAATATCAAATCGATCTTTCTTAGCGAAGACAATGCAGTTTTAAAGTATGCTAAGACTTCATAAATGGCTTCTCAAGCGAAAACTGCAATGCACAGAATAGTTACAGATATGTTTTGGAGCACTTATATCCTCGATTTGTGTTTTCTCTCACAAAAATGAATGTTATCAGACAGTTTAGACAGATTAATGCACTGATTGTTCGTCGTTATTAGAGAAATCGTCTCTACATCTTTCCTTCTCAATTATCCATGAAGTAGTTGATTCTTCTTATCGATCATGAAAATAAGTGTGTCGAAAATCAGGGTCACATGTCACTCTGCTGGGTCATTGAATTAAAACTAGGACGGATTCATTATAGAAAAACAAAAACACCGAGAATGACGTCAATGTGTGTTTAAAAAGGCATGTACAACATCTGATCGACCATCTGCATTTAAATCATCGAAAGCTAATGATAAAAGATCAGTATCTGTGACAAATGGTGATACTCCTCTGAAACATTCGTTACCAAAATCGTGATAAACATCGAAATAAGCTGANATTTGATATAAATACTCAAATATTGACATGAATCGTTGCGATTCCTCAGAGAAAGTAAGGGAATATTTTTGTGGGCTTTTACACAACTTATCAATCATATTATCAGATTTATTTCAATAAAAGCTCTATCTAGACTAAATCAGCTCAATTCAAAACTGAAAAACCTTAATATATAGTTTATCTTAAATGCACGCTCAAACGATAATTTGTCAAAGAGATATTGATATATCGATATGATATTTATTGTCCGCGGTGTTGAATTCCATGTCATTGATTGAAAAAGGTCGTCCGGGACGAATAAGAACTTCGTCTTCTTCGGGAAAGTTCGAAAATGACGAAATATCTAAACCTCTAGCATACATGTCAATCTCAATCGTAAATAATGTGTTCCCATAAAACATGGCTAAATTTCGATTTTTCGTCGTTGAAACAAAACTATCCCATTGCAGAAAGTCGCTACGCGCGTTTTCATAACGGTTTACTTGTTCGGAAGTGAGTAGAACACCGCGATACACAACACCTTGGTATGCATAACCAGATAATGAACGAACACCATTATTCAGAATAGAACAAAACGGCCCGAGAGTATCGACTTTGCTCATATCACGATTTCTCAGCACTTCATTGATCAATTTATACAGAAACGTTTCTTTCGTATATAAATGCAAGCAGGACTTTTGAATTGTCTTAAGATCACTGTTAGCAACGAGCACTAACTCATCAGCAATTTCTTTTGCTTGCTTTTTGCAAATATCGTCATTTAATTTTTCACCCTCGATAAGAATACCTTCAGCAGCCTTTTTCACTTTTTGTGGTGTACAATTTGTCCAATGTTCTGCCTCCCATGGACCAAAGTCCCATGCGTTCAGAAAGTCAGTAGTGTCTTCCCATTCCGCATCGCTAAACGTGCTCGCCTTCGACGGTAACACAACCGGGTTGTCATCGAAAAATCGTGTTATTCTCATGCTCATTTCAATTGCTACTTTTTCTTCCGCCAACAAAAAAAAACGACGTCAATGATGAAGTTTTTCTCCTAAATATACTACTCAAAGCATTTAAAAATTGAGTAAACAACATTTTTTTTTCTTTTCTCTCCAACATCCGATGAGCGGAGGGAGGCGACAAGACAAACACTATGGAAGCAAAAAGAAACACGATGATTCTATGCCGTTTCTATCGTTGCATTTGCGATTTGAGCATGTATCGCACACTAAGAGCCACTGGAATGATACGATTTCGCTTTTGTCGAAAAATACCTTTCACGACCGATCGAACGTCTTTCGATAGGAAAAAATAAACATAAAATGCGAATGCTGAATTGAAGAAAAACGTGATCCGACTGATTTGATAGAAGAAATTCTCTTGAGCCGCTCGATATGCGTCTCTTTTCAAGTCGATCGCTAAAACTATATACATAAATCGTGTGCCATGTAGAATAGATGAGATGGCAAACAGACAACTTTCCACAATAATCATCTACAAAATAGAATATGACATTCGAATTCGATTCAGACGCGATTGAACTTACAATTGTACACTGTTTTGTTCGTGAGTAGGATAATGGGTTCATCAGTCGAAGATTTCGATATGTTAATACGGAGAATACAATCATGATTATCAAGGGAACGAAAAAATAAACAACTGGATTGAGAAAAAATGAAAAGTAATCCGTAAATTGTCGATTTAATGTATTGCAAGTCATTTTCTTTGAATTGACTCGAATCGAGTCGAACACAATTAGCACTGGAATGCCAATTAACATCCAGGTTAGACAATTCACGAATAGAAGACAACGAGCTAACTTTTTCGTACTGAGATTTCGTATCTGTACCGATCGCGAGGTACAAAAGTATCGATCAATCATTGTTAAACAACGACAACCAACCGTAGTAAAAGAAAAAACAAATGCTCTGAACAAAAGGAATCGCTGACAATTGAAAATTTCATTTTTCAAAACTTACAGATAGGTTCGAACTCGACATCCGACCGAATTGTTTGCAAAGGGATCTATATCAAATCCATCCGCTAGTAATCGCGTTGTCACGGAAAATGATATATTGAAAAAGTCGAATACACTCGCAACAAGTATATAACATGAACACGGACTTTGACGGAAACGTTTGCGAGAAAAGACGTATAGGTTGGCTATTGAACCGATAATCCCAGCAATTAGTACGATTGAATACCCATAGATACTTACTTGTTTAGTAATCGCGTTCAATGTGTTAATAGATACCATCTGAAAGGTGTTAAAATGAATCGACGTAAAAGAAAACTTCAATTTGTGTGAGAAAAAAAAACAGTTTTTCTAAATGAGGAGAGAAACTAATTAGAAAAGCGCTCGTAATTATTGTGAAAGGAAATTATCAGGACCAAATATAAACGTGGTATATCGTTTTAATCATGAAGTGAAACACAATGGTGTGCAAGTAAGCTGTTAGGTGCAATTGAGGAAAATATAAAACATGACATAAAGATATTCATCCGCGATGAGTGGAGCAACGCATCGGATTAGATAAAATCGAAATAGCGATCATCAATCAATATTCATTATGTTGTTATCAAAGTCAATTATCACGACAGCGAACATATCGTTGTCTCTGGTCAGTTAAAAGTGCATGCAAAGATCTGAGGATAAGAACGATGGTTGTTTATTTTCTAACTAATTGGAATGGTTTTATAAGAAAAAAGGGTGAATTAAAGTCAGTTTATTGGTTGTTCTTGTCTCGACGAGATGTTTTCTAAAAGAGAAAAGTTTTTCATTCACGAGAAATAATTGAGCAAATTTATCGAACTCACTTTTACTTTTTCCCAAGTGACCAAATCAATTGGTTAAGCCAAAAGCTACTACCCAAACCTCGACGTTTTGTTTCTCCGGTTTTGACTTCATTTTCCGCAGCCGCATAGATATCCTCCAGAGTGACGTGATATTTCTCGAGAGTTTGAACGATTTCCATAGCAGCATTAACGATATTGGATTTATCAGGTTCACCTTCGCGTTTCCATGCTGGTAAATTGGGAACGCTTTCTAATGATCTCAAGTGAGGACGAAATTGTTTGCTCACAAGTTGATCTACTTCTTCATCATCTTCTACCGAGCGTCCATTACACACTGTTGCTATTGCGAATAGCGCCATGAAGAGAGTAACGAAGAAACCAGTTCGGTACATTGTTAGATTTGTATAGTTTCCTGTGATTTCCAACAACTATTTATATGCGATGAGTTGGAGAGAGAGAAAAGTACTGGTGCGAATCGATACTTCGATGTTTTTTTAGATAGGAAATGATAATTAGCAACGCATATTGATATGCACATCAAAGTTACAGAGAGACAATTTCTACAGAAACTCGTACGTCATCTTGTTTGAGTTGGCGTTCCTCTATCATATGACCGATTTCTAATTATTTTATGTTCGGGGAAAGCTTTCGATGACACCCTTTCTAATGATATATTTTTTATTCAATTTCATCCATGTTTCCACCGAGAAATCACCGGTACAAAATGAAGAAATCTTACTGTCGTTTTTATGTGTTACCTCCGCAATAACGCCGCTCGAGCCATTTTTCATTCCTAATAGTGACGCAAAATATATTTTTAATATCAAACTGATCTTTCTTCGCGAAGACAATGGAGTTTTAAAGTATGCTAAGACTTCATAAATGGCTTTTCAAGCGAAAAGTGCAATGCATAGAATAATTAAAGATATGTTTTGGAACACACATATCCTCGATTTGTGTTTTCTCTCACAAAAATGAATGTTATCAGACAGTTTAGACAGATTAATGCACTGATTTCTCGTCGTTATTAGAGAAATTGTCTCTACATCTTTCCTTCTCAATTATCCATGAAGTAGTTGATTCTTCTTATCGATCATGAAAATAAGTGTGTCGAAAATGAGGGTCACATGTCACTTTGCTGAGTCATTGAATTAAAACTAAGACAGATTCATTATACAAAGAAAAAAACACCGAGAATGACGTTAATATGTGTTTAAAAAGACATGCAAAACATCTGATCGACTAACTGCATTTAAATTATCGAAAGCTAATGATAAAAGATCAGTATCTGTGACAAATGGTGATACTCCTCTGAAACATTCGTTACCAAAATCGTGATAAACATCGAAATAAGCTGAATAAGTATCAAGAGTAACGATGTCCAGAGTATTATCTTCATTGAGATATTGTATGGCAATTTCATAGGAACGAGTGTTACGTGTCTAATTAATTTGTCATTTGAATAATCCATTTCCAAGATACACTCAAATACTAATTGTGTTATCACCACGAATCGTTTTGTTCAACTGTCAGCAGGAAAGGCCAGATAACTGTTCTGATGAAAATCCGCCACATCAAAAATTGTTAGATACCATTCTGACGTAATTTTCATCTGGATTATTGCAAATGGGACAGATCATTTGCGTTCGAAATGATCTACTGGTTAGCCCAAACGAAATTCCTAGACTTGAATCGATATTATGAGTAGAGGCGAAATCGATATAACTGTCTCGATTGTGTTCTAAAGCTTCTACAGCTACGCCTAAGAAAACAAACTAACAGTGTTATTCACAACTTCTAACAATAAAATTTGTATGAGTATCATTGTTGAAATCATTGATAACAATCGAATGACAAACTGAATTTGCTCGATCGATAAACAGGAAAGTGAATGTTATTTCTTTTGACATCGTGATCGTGCGGGTGTTCGGAATGAGTGGTACGAAACGTAGTTCACCCGGATTGACGTGATGAAAAGATTGATAAATTGTATTCGTATAGCACTATGAATGGATTATATTCGCTGTTTCCATTTGTGATACTATAAAAAAGTATGTTTAGTTGTAAAAGAATGTCCGAATGGCTGTAACTATCATTGCGAGTCTAAATACTACTGCATGTAAGTAATTTTTTTCATTTTTCTTTAATACATGATTTTTAAGAGGAATAATCGATTCAAAATTAAAGACAGAAGTTAGTGAATATACGCGGTTTTTTGCACTAGTTAAAGTAGAACACGAAAACTAATTTACATAATTACTTGTGTTCGTTGATCAGATTCGAGTATGTAGTTTGTAGAAGAAACTTGCTTACTTTAACAAAGAAACTTCTAAAAAGACATTAAATTTTTTCTACTGAAAATTCTAAATTTCTTCAGTCTTCATAAGTACTTCCTCAGTTTCTGCTTAGTTATGTCTTACAATGATATTATTCACTTATGATAAGAAGACATGCCTTCTTCAGAAGTCATTAATCTGTACTTTCATGCGACTTTATTTCGTTATGGTCATCGCCCAAAAGCATCATTTTTTACATCGCGACAAAATACAGAGGTTTTTTTTCGAATGCCACATTTCCATCATTTCCATGTAAGAAAAGAACCCAAAGACAGAAACTGTTGTACTGCTTCAAAATTTGTTTTATACAATTGTAGATGAGGATGTGTCGATGGTAACACTTCTTGAGCGATTTGAACAGCTTTTGTATAAAATAATAAAGCAGTTCTGTGATCACCCATGTTGCGATACGCTGCGCCGATGTTATTGTAGGATGAAGCCACATGTGGATGATTGGGAGGAAGTGATTGTTCTCGTATTTTGAGAGCTTGTTCATATGATGAAAGTGCCTTGGAATAGTCACCCATGTTGCGATACGCTTCACCGATGTTGTTGTAGGATCCAGCCACATCTGGATGATTGGGAGGAAGTGATTGTTGTTTAATTTTGAGAGCTTGTTCATGTGACGATAGTGCCTTGGAATAGTCACCCATGTTGCGATACGCTTCACCGATGTTGTTGTAGGATCCAGCCACATCTGGATGATTGGGAGGAAGTGATTGTTCTCGTATTTTGAGAGCTTGTTCATATGATGAAAGTGCATTGGGATAATCACCCATGTTGTGATACGCATTACCGATGTTGTTGTAGGATGAAGCCACATGTGGATGATTGAGAGGAAGTGATTGTTCTCGTATTTTGAGAGCTTGTTCATGTGATGAAAGTGCCTTGGGATAATCACCCATGTCAGAATACGCATTACCGATGTTGTTGTAGGATGAAGCCAC